GTAGAATAATAAAACTTATCTTTTCTGCTGTACAGTTCTTGTGGTGTAACCAACTACTTATTTCTTAGCTTCTACTTAGCTTCCAATGGAAAAGATGAAGGCAACACCTTTCGATTCATCACAAATAATCCATTATTGAAATGGTCGTCAGCTAATTTAGTATTGATGAATCTTTTTTGATGATATTAAAAAAACATTAACATTTGATTCTCTGATCTATGTCGGCAAATCGAAAACTTTGAAAAGTCTGTTGTGATTTAGGGCTATAATAATAATAATAATGCATCGGTTTTATATAGCGCGTTTTTTGGACACTCAAAGACGCTTCACATGTGTCATTATTCATTCACTCCATACACGGTGGTGATAAACTACTAATGTAGCCACAGCTGCCCTGGGGCACACTGACAGAAGCGAGACAACCAGTATGTGCCATCGGCCCCTCTGACCACCACCAACCATTCACACACACACCAGACTCATTCTAGGCAATGTGGGTGAAGTGTCTTGCCTAAGGACACCACGGCAGTTTGGCACTTTACAGCCGCAGCCGCCCCACTGTGGCTGGTGTTCCCAGAGGTTAAGTGTCTTGCCAAGGACACAACGACAGTAGTCAGTGGGAGTCGATGGTGAATGTCTTGAGCGGGGCTTGAACCCACGACCTTCTGGCTCAAAGGCCAACGCTCTACCAACTGAGCTACTGCCGCTGAAATACATTGAATTGAATCACTTGAGATTCGTGTTCACTGACTGTTCAAAATGTACGCAATTGAAAAAGAATAATCAGTTAGAACCAATCATTAATTACAACCCTAAAATGTATATCATCATCTATGCTGACGTAGAGTTCTTGTAGATGCAACATATTTTGTCTGCGGAGGTGTGTGGAGGAGGGTCAAATATAGCTTCTAAGGGAAAGGATCCAAAGCCCTGTGGCACTTGCGTAGTAACAGTCGGTGTGATCCAAGGATTTAGCCTCAAAACAGCCATAGAATAAAAAACAATGCTTTTTGCTACGTCTGAGCAATGTTTTTCTCTCGTCCTGTCAGTTACTGGCTTGGCTCCATGGTTAAGTCCACACTTTGCATATGATTTCCTCCAGTCTACATCTATGTTGCTTTTGGATACAGTCTTGTTTGACACTAGAACTCCCAGTATTCTGAAACTAATAGAAATCCCAGTGCTGACATTTTGGACGGCTCCCATTCAAACCAAGGGAATTCTTTGAAAATCACCCAAAAATGTTAAGATATGTATATAATTTTTAACCTTAAGTCACTTTTACTAGGTGCTAAAACCGTTTGTAGAATGGCTAAATGCTAAAGACCAAACGCCAACTGGTAATGGTAAACGGTATGTTGCTATAGTAACCAGCACTCGCTCTTCAAAGATGGAACTACTCGCGTTTCAATAACAATACGATAACTTCTGAATGGTAATGACAGAAAAAACTACGTAGAGATACAGAAAAAGTCCCAAAGTTATGTGTTAATGCTCAAAATTGAAAACGTTTGCCTAAACTCGGGTTGTCATTTTTCGAGTTTGTTATTGTGAGGCCTGTTCTAGTTTCAGTATCTAATCTAAAGCCTTGTTTTTTTGTCCCGACCCTCAAACCCTCCCTTCCTCTCCTGTCTCCTTGTGTCTGGAAGAGCTCAGTTTTTTTTTTTTTGGGTTAAGTGGGGAGCAGCGCGCCTCTTGGCTTCTTTCGTTTAATCTTTAGGAAGAACTCCCCCACACGCTGCTGCTGCGAATGCTAACACACTTTACATTATTTCTCTGTGGATATAGGCCAAGGAGGAGGAGGCAAGGCAATCCCGCTCCAGTCTAGACGCTAATTATCATCAAAATTAATTGACCCAGTTGTGAGGCCCGATTAATAATGGTATTTGTTTTGGTTTTTGTTTGACACATCGCATTTTTATCCCTCTGCGCTCAACAAAAAGCTAAGAATGCCACCGCATACAAGATAGGAACAGACAATTAAACTATTGTGCAGCGCTAATTGCTTTTCCTATCTACTGTTGGTCTGTCTGGAGAAATAGGCATCAGACAAAATCATTTCAGCTGAGATATCTCTATAAATAAGACTCAGATGTTATTCTATTGATACACAGCGGCGCAGGGCTTGTATTTCTATGACGGGATTAGCAAACCAGACAGCTGCTATGAGTCGCTGAATAGTGCAATATAAAGGATCTATTACTGTTCTCAATCGGCAGAAGGTGGATAATGGACAAACGTAATCCAGGATTTGTGAAGTCGATTGGTGTTAAACAAGATGCAAAGAGCTATCCGGCATGCACTGCAGCTAAAATCTGGAACAGTCTTCCTGGAAATGTGAAACAGGCTTCTACTCTGATAATGTTCAAATCCAGGTTAAAAACAGTTTGGTTTTGCCGTTCATACAACTGAAGGATTGTATTTCCACTCTATTTAATGTACTGATTGTTTGTGATGTTAATGCTTGGATGATTGTTGCTATCTTTTTTTTATAACTGATTATGTGTGAACTGTGCTATACAAAACATTTTATTTATATTGCACCTTACATTTCCAGGAAAACTCAAAGTGCTACATATTATAATACCGTGCATCAAACAAACCAAGCAAAAAACATGAAGAGGTTAAAAGCTCAAAACCTTACTTTGCCTATCTGCTGTTTTGACAGAGTTGTTGTTAATGTGCTTTTGAAATTCAGTCAGATCTGCACTCAATTCACAGAGCACCATCCGCTCACTGATCCTCCTGCAGGTGGTGAGTCCACAGTAGCGTTTTCGGTTCATTTAGATTAAAATGAATGTTGTTATTTATTGTGAAAACTATAGCCTTAACCCTGTAGCACCCTTGGTTACAAATATGTAACATAAAGTTCAATGGTTTTTGCAAAAGAAATTTGGTTTTATGCAGCAGCAATGTGTATGTACCCATGAACCCAAAGAAACAAATTTGCTACATTGACAAATTGGTCTTTGAATGCTGCTTTCCGAAAATAGCACAGATCATTTGTTATATCTGGGTTCTATATAACAAGCAAAGGTAGCATATCTGCTGGATCGAAGATGTACATTGGCTAACAGATCACTAATATAATTAGCACACTCTCGTATAAATTATTGAAGATATTGTACATACTGTGAACAAACTGTTGCTTTTCAACGTGTGAGAAGGCGACATGTGATGAGTGTAGAGATTAAACTGTCAAATGACTAAGCACTGCTGTACATGTTTGCCCTACAGGTGGAGAAAACAATTAGACCTGTATTCTCCACAGAACACTGTGTGCAGTCAACAAAACATACCATAATGACTTTGTTCAAATGAGCGATTTATGCATTTCTTGACATAATAATGGAACTTTACAATAGAAACAATTCGACCCATTTTTTTGAAATCTATTTAACTCTAGAACTCCCAGAGCTGTCATTTTGACTGCTCCCATTCAAACCGATAGAATTCAAAGACGTTTTGCCAAAAAATAAAACATTTCTACCAGTTTTTTTTTTACTTTGACTCACTTTTACTTAGATCCAAGACTGGTGAATATAACTTAGCCTTTTCAACAAACTGTTTTTGCTTCTGCCAGAGTCGCTTTGTGACTCTGGTCTGTGAAAGGCGGTATATAAATAAACATTACTTACCTACTTACTTACTCAATGTCCATCCATACATCCATTTTCTTCCCCTAATCAATTTCTGGGTTGGGGAGTTTCAGTCAGAGCTGCACCCAGTCCACAGAGCTCCAGCCCCTCCCTGATCCTCCTGCAGGTGGTGAGTACACAGGGGCCTTGATCTTTCAGTGGGGACTTCAGTCAAAGTGGGGTTAAGTGTCTTGCCCAAGGACACAACGACAGCAGTCATCAGTGGTAGTCAAGTGAGACATCAGTAGTAACTAACGTTTCAAAAAAAAAAAAAAAAAATTCTCCACCATTATTTTTATAAAAATTAACAACAGAAAACAAAAAAAGTCACAATGTTATGACGACCAATCATGCACATACACTGACTAATAACACTTTCAAAACTAAAAGCTGTCAAATGGACTGCTCTGGGAGTTCTTATAAGTGCTAAAACTGGTGAATAAACAAAACGGTGTGTTGCTATGGTAACTAGAGCAGTTAAAGTTAAAACTACTTTCCTTTTAAAAATAAAAGATTCTATATCATCATTCTTACATTATCTACACACAAAAAAATGTCACAACGTAAGAAAAGACCAAAAATATACACGAGCTGAGCAAATGCACTTCCAGTATTAAAAGCCATCAAATTGACTGCTCTCGGAGTTCTAGTGTTAGGTATATACTATTGTTTGTATCAAGTTTAAGTGGATATGTAATAAGAAGACCACTGGAAGGCAGTTTGTTGTTGCAGTTGTTTTGAGTGCGAGTGAGAGGGGTGATATTGTGAAAGATGAGGCTGTCAGTGGATTCAGTTAGATATTGCTACACTGCATTTTTGTTCTCTGCTGACAGAAGGTAGCTTTTTTTAGTTCAATATTAGGGTTAGGGTTCACATTTATGACCTTGCTTACTTATTGGCCTAGTATAATTTGATTTTATTTCATTTTCATGTTATTTTTTGTCAGGTTCATACAGGATTCAGTTGTTTGACATAAATACATGGATATACATTTTCCTCTTCACCCTAGAGACCTGAAATGGAGTGGGATTGGATATTTTCAAATAGATTTTTTCAGAACAAAATTAGTTCAGTCATTATGGAATGAACCAAAACTGGACCAAAATGTAAGACTGGATGTAGTTAAAGACTGAGAACTTTTCGAACATATCTAACAATATAACTTCCTATTACATCTTGGCTTAAGATTTCTGAATTAAAGGATGTAGTTGTTTTATTGAGAACATTAGCTTTAAAAATGGGTATCACATCGTAGCCTTTATACTATCAATGCTGCAACTTAACATAATAATTCAAAATCATTTCAAGGGCCACTGAATATGGTGTTGCGGGCCGGATTTGGCCCACTTTCCTGGGTTTGACATGCCTGCGCTAAAGCGTAATGGAAATGCAACCAGGTAGAGTCGGGCCAGGTAGAGTCGGGCCAGGTAGAGTCGGGCCAGGTAGAGTCGGGCCAGGTAGAGTCGGGCCAGGTAGAGTCGGGCCAGGTAGAGTCGGGCCAGGTAGAGTCGGGCCAGGTAGAGTCGGGCCAGGTAGAGTCGGGCCAGGTAGAGTCGGGCCAGGTAGCGTATAAAACTTTGAATGCCCTTCTTTAGACCATAGGCAGAGTTTGATTTCTGTTTCGTGGGGGAGGCAATCACGGCAGTTCCACATGAACAAGATGTGACTGATTACAATTAATGGAAATGTTCACAATTGACAGTGTGCTGTTATTGGATCTGAGCTGCCCCTTGTGCTTCCTTTCCCTCGGAGTCTCTGCGAACTGTAAAAAAAACAAAACAAGATAAAGCTGTTTCAGGATTATACTCTGAAGAGGAAAAACACAACGCGGGTAACCCAAATGCGCCTTAACTCTCCCGTGACTGAGAATCGCACCGGGCCATATTTCTACAAGAAGCACAAACAAACAGCGAAAGTCTCTGCTCTGTTCTGCGCCGAACGAGGTGCTGCGATCTGAAAGTGCTGTGTCTGCAGAGTCTACACAAGTGCATGTTACTATTCATGCTCTGGATGCAGCAGCTGTAGGCCTGCGGTGGCAATTACTCTATCGACTCGTCTTTCAATAAATTACAGCAGACTATCATTCTTTCAATTACGAGATCCTTTACATTTGTCCGACAGTGGGGAAATTTCAGTGTTGCATCACCAGTGACAGAACAGTAGGAAGGAGGAGCACAAAACACAAGTGAACAATATCTGTAAATAAAATACAATCTCTAACTTTAGAATAACATTGAAGCAAATTTAAAATGTCTCACTTGAGCATAATAAAGACACATAATTCTACGTATTCTATGTATGTGTAAATGACAATTACCTTTTGAAGTGTAAAAAGGGAGAGATTTTTTCCTAAAGCCAGCATTAGAAAGAAATCCACCCATCCTCACTCCCACAGCTTCCAAATTGGTCTGAATAAATTTGAATCCTTTATACACAGATGAAGTCCCTATCTATTCTCCTCCAGAAGATCTGATAGGTGGAGGTCATGCCAAGGAAGGGGACTGGATTACATGTATTGTTTTTGAACATATTCCAAAATATTAAAGAAATGGTCATCTTTATTTTATATATTAAAATTAAATCACCTTTAATTGACTAGATGTGTTTAGATCCAGAAAAGTGAATATGGGATTTTTTTTCTACATTTGACAAAACAAAGCTTAAGTGATTCCCAGAGAACATCTTTATCATATATTAGACTGGGACTCAGAAGAGCACAGGGACCGCCCCGAGTTCTTCAGAATCAGGACTAAACATGGGAAGGCGGCTTTTATAATGTTATACAGTTTAAATCTGAAAATGTGAAACAGGCTTCTAACCCTTAGACACTTAAAGAAGCTAAACCGTTTTTTTTTTTTCTAATGAGTTCATTAAAATGCTTACTACTACATACAAGTTGTATTATAATCCGTAATTTAATTGATAACTTGAGCGCATTGATTCAGCTGTTTATGAACTCAGGCCGTATAAAAGTGCTGAGTGGAGACTAGCGGGCCCATCATCCTGCTCCAGTCATAGAACGAGCCTGTGTCCTCTAGCCTCTACAGCGCTGCTCTCTACAGAAACAGAATCAGAATCCTTTTTATTGCCACGTAAGTAACAGGAGGTCACAGACTTGGAAATTGCTTTGGCTCGGTGCAACAGTCAAAAAGAGATCATAAAAATAAGAATAAAAAACACTTCTAAAGAATAAATTTAAATTTAAAATAGAGTTACAGTTACTATATACAATATACAAGTGCACATGTAGCTCTTGCTGTAACTGTATACACAGCAAACAGCCCGAACGACACAACAGTGAGGAAGAGAAGAGGCAACTAAAGCGAAAAAATTATCAAAAAAGAAATCAAGCCCGGTAAACATAGCTAGCTTACATCGTATCGTCTGGAGAGACTTGTCTATGGGAGAGACCAGCGGGACCGCCTCGGACTATCTATGCTCGGACCACATTCGGACGCGAAACGAGCGGTAATCAGTAATATATTTTGTTAGAGGTGTGTTGCTTTTGTACCATTTCATCAGCGATTGTTGTACAGCTCAAGTTGCGCTATTGCTAATGTTAGCATCAGATCGCAAATACAACTAGGGGGCTCGGCTTAGTGGAAGTGAGAAGCCTCTGAGCGAGTTGGGAGGTGGTGCTAAACAAGCAAACCTTGCAGAATGGGTATAGCTCCTTTAAGTTCTTTCAATTTGTCACTGAGTGAAGCCCTCTAATTGGTTGGATCTTGATGAGGCGGATCCAGGTACCACCCTGCCCACAAAATCCACACACAATGCCAAGGATGTAAACCTATCTTGCGACTTCTCTTTTACTGAGCCAACAATAGTTCAGTGAGATCTAGAGAAACTGTAGTGGATCCATCCTTTTTACTGTCTGATAAACATTCTCATGGACTGACCTACATACCACGTTTAGGAGTTTCCCGTGTTTGTGTTTTATGTATTGATGTCATTGTGAAAAGCAGACATCTCTCTACTTCCCCCCACTCATCCTCCAGAGTGTAATCTGAGACAGTCTTTTCAATATTTTAATTGTGATGATAATGAATTCTGAATTGTTTCAAATGCAATTGTAATGTACTTGTTTAGCAGTATATTTTATTCTGCAAAATCCTTCATTTTCTTCAAGTCTTTGTATGAAAGATCATGCTGTTTATTGCCACAGCTTTGAGGTTGTATGAATTTAGCTTAACTAATGCTGATGCTAATATATATCCCTGGCTTTGCTGCTGGTAATGTGTTTTTCTCTTCCACAAATTTCCCTTATTTTAAAATTAAGCCTTTTCCCTTCCTTTTTTTTGCATAATCTTTTAACGGAATGAAGTAATGCTGGTAAAATGCCCAATTTAATCTTTTTTTAAAAAGAATGTATAACTCTATACTTACTGTATAGGGACCTGCATTCCACAAATGTCTTTTCAGACACAAGTTCTTTTGTGTCTGAAAAGTATTATTGCCTCTGTTCTTCATAGGTTTTATTTTGATTATTGGATGTTTGAATTACTTGCATTCAAGTGAGGTATACTTAACACGTTCACATGAAACGAGCACAGTGGTCAATGCAGCAAATCTTTAACAATGCCTTCATTTGTAGCACCCTAGTATGCACCAGACAAATCTAAGAAAAAAACAATTCCAAGCAGCAATTGTCAATGTGAAATCAATCAACAGAAAGTTTCAATATAAGTGCAAGATCAAAGACGAACTCTTACGTTTGATGTGATGAATTTTATCATAGTCTGCAACACCCCCAAAACATTGTGCTATAATGTACGCAGAGAAGGTGGATTACATGGTGCATTTTAAACCCTTGTGCTAACCTCAGGTTAAACTGACCCACCAAAGTGATAAAGAAATACCAATACTAACAAAGAAAGTTTCTTTCTGAATTTTGATTAAGTAACTAGGATCATTTAGACCCTAATTTAGGTTTTTTGTTGTTGTTTGAATTACTTTGGTGGGTCAGAGCATAGCTCAAGGGTTAAAAGTACATAAATTACAAAATGTGTTGAAGTAGGACTGCTCCACTAATTGAAAGAGAGAATAATTGAGATCTCTTTGACGTTGACACGTTAATCAATCATCATGTGCTGCTGAGGAGGGCTTACTCTGTCTCCTCAACTAACTTTTTCAAGACAGAACTGGACCAGGGACAGACGGCATGTGACTTTACTGCTCTTCCTTCACCCGTCAGAGTTGAGATATTTGTCTTAACTTTGCAAAATTTGATTTAAGTGAATATGGGTTAGGGTTGCCTGTGCGCAAGTGTATGACAAATTTCAATAAGAAAATAAATCAAATCAAATTGAATATGGATTAATATGAGTGGAAAATCTTGGGTATTTCCCCAGATCGCCCAGCCCCAGTTCTATGTTGCAGTTTGTCAGCGTGTCCTTGTCTGAGCGTTGTTGCATATCTCTCTGCTCTCCTCAGGTCACTGTTGTGGTTGGAGAAGCCAGTGGGATTCTTTCAGACGTGTGTCAGCGAGGGTTTACACAAGAGGACTACGTCATCGAGCTGGACCGGGAAGTTCAGAGGGGCCAGGCGCTGTGCAACGGTCAGTCTTCAAAAACACACACACAAACACACACACACACAAGCAAGCATTCCCAGTCTGTGCTCTGTGGGCAGAGGCTTACTACTTGCTGAAAGACTTGTTTTTTTCATATGACAAATGAAAATATGGCTTGATTCTAATTCTCATTATGTTGGAAAAGTCCATTTTATGTCTTGTTTACAATATGTTCATGCGTTTTCCCCCATGATTTACACTAGTTTGATTCTGGGTCAAGACAGTACAACTTCATACTAACATTGGTAATTCGCACCTTATGGGCCGATGGTGCTATGATTTTTTTTATTTATATCATTAGCGTTTCTTGTGTTTGAACTGTTTGATTGTCTGATCTGTGTTGGCGAATCGAAAGCTTTGTAAAGTTCTCCGAGATAACTAGATAGATGGATACTATAGAAGGATATATAGATACTTTATTGAGCCCTATAGGAGAAAACACATAAGTACATAAATTATACATGTTTTTAACTAACTAACTATAGTTGTGATTTAGGGCTATACAGAAAAAAATCAAATTGAATTGAGATACGACTGGGTGTACCTTCCTTTCAATACCATATTAGTATACCATTCAGGACATTCCCAAACCTCTATTTTTTCATATTCTTGTCCATTTTAGCTTTTAGAACTCACAATTCTCTTTGCATCGCACATTGTGTTGAGCATTTCAGTAAACTTTTTGTCCTCACACTACCCAAATAACTCCTGCCTTTCGCCATTTACTAATTGCTTCCACTCAAACGATAATTTCGCTCTGCTCGCAAATTAATCTGGCAGCTCCTGCAGTAATCCCCCTCCCTGTCTGCGGGGGTGCAAGTGGGGGAGGGGGAGCGAGCGAGATTTGGGCCATAATGGATCTTCAAGAGCGGTGACCTTTGCCAGACTGAGCCGGCTCCAGGATTAGACAGAGAGGCTGCGCTGAACGGATAAGGCGGCAGACAGAGGAGTGTGCGCGGGAAGGACAAGGCACTGCTGTGGAGCTATGGTGGAGGGAAAAAAGAAATGTGTGTTTATGAGACCACATGCGTTTGTTGAAGTAGGAGTACCTAACTTTCAGAAAAATCCAGATGTTTGTTTACAGTTTTAGTTTATCATCATTAGAACAAATAACTATATTACCATATTTTTTGGATTATAGGGCACAATTTTTGTCATAGTTTGGTTGGGGGGGGATTCATACTCAGGATTGACTTAAAATGTATATTTAATTTACCATAAAATATTAAATGATAGCTCGGGCTATTAACCCTCTATGCCCATGGGTCATTTTGGGGAACTTTCCTCGCCTGGTTTTCTTTGTGTAAAATTGTTCATAAAACAGTCATCTTTTGATGCAGAGTCAAGCAGTATACTTTGTTTTTTTCAGTACAACCTGGGGTTTTAGAATATTCATATTGTAAAGCTGTCATATGAATTATATAAAAATGATGGAATCATAAAGACAAAGAAAAAAATCAAACGGAAAATCAATTTAACAAAAATGTATTGAAAAAACACAATGAAATGCTATAAACAACTTTTTACACTGCATAGAAATGTTATTTATGGTCTTGGGGATAATGGGGGAAAAAATTGAATCTCTAACTAGTATACTTTTTACAAAATTCCACTATAAAAGCAAAAAACTCTGTACTCCTGATGCCCTTCTTGAAGCAGTTTGTCTATAATGCTGGGGTTGCTTCTGTAGTACAGCTGTAAAAAACGTAAAACATAAAAAACTGAGCCAAAAAAAAAAAAAAAACATCAATTATTTATTTAATACATATATTTATATACATCATATACACATAATGTCATTTTACTGTATTTATTATCGTCTTTATCAATAATGCGCACTCTTCAGCCGGTTTTTGCAATCGCAGCTGTAGTTTCAACTGTGGGAGAACAAGGAAACGCAGAGGAGTGAGAGATCTCACTCTCTGACGATCTTTGGCAGTCCCCGTGTGTTTGTATCTCACAGCTGTTTGTACCTCACGGGTCATGCTTTGGACACGGACTTTCAGACAAACGTAGTTTATCCTCCGTGCATCGCACAGACAAATAGTTTCGGAAAGCCCTGATTACGTACTTCACAGAGGAAAAAAAAGTAAGTTGCTACGTTTTACCGTTCGCGAGTAAATTGATCATTTGTAAAACATGTGCGGCACCGATGCACGCGGGCATATAGGGTTAATTTGAGCAATTCAGATATTAAAAATGCGACATATAATCTAGTGAGATTATGTTTTTTTCCTTCTTTATTATGCATTTTCGGCTGGTGCGACTTCTACAATACATCGTACAGAATATACGTTTGCATTCAGTCTTGTATAGAATCTATTGAATGTAGCTAATATCCACTAATGATTGGATATTATTCTTATGATGATATTATGATGTCAAAATCATATGCAATTGTTTGGCCTTTTGTCATTCATTATTGTTGAGGTAGTGGAATGGCAGTTACAAGTTACTTACAGAGATAACAGAAAATAAACTCAGAGAGAAGGTCCACAGATGGTCTCCCCATGGTTAGGGACCATTGATAGCCGGACATCAAGAAGATTCACCCCAACAATAATGATCAAGGGTTCATTCACCGCAGGCCATAGCTCGACTAGAATGTGGACAAAATCGATTTTTGGACAAACTGAATGACAGCACTGTTTTTCAGAGATTGATTCATTTCGACCCTGCAAAAATTTACGTTGTGAATATGTTTGGCCGTATGTATAGTTTTAAGTGTTTCTAAATGGAACAGTTTATTGTTTTATTTACCCATCGCAAGTTATTTCCTTGTGCAGTATTTATTATAACCCAAATCATGTTTAATGTCCCCAGAGCCGGCTCAGAGATACTGTTGTTTTAAACCCAAACACCAGATAAAGACAGATGGCAACACCCTCCTGAGTGGAATTTACTTTACAAATAATTGTGTAATTAACACTTTTTGTGTGCTTATAGATGATAATTATATTTTGTTTATATTTGTTCCATTGGCCTTTTTTTAAGACTACAACAAATCTAATCACTAGATAGTTCATGGAGAAAGCATTGATTTGTTTGTTTTTCAATATTATTGCACACAGTCTGCTACAGTCGTCTCTCAAATATGAATTCACCTGGAAGATTTCCCTGGGCGGCACTTTGGCACAGTGGTTCGCTCTATTGGGTTCTATTTCACCTCCAGACGGTGCCTTTGTGTGTGGAGTTTGCATGTTCTCCCTGTGTCTAGGTTTTTTCCTACCACTTAAAACTTGGGAATTACCCCAAGGCCTAAGGCTACAATCAGGTGTAAGTATGTACAGCACTGCTATTCATGAACACACATTTTTCCCATTCAAAACAAATACAATAATATGAACTTGAACGCATATACTCTTTTAATCACAGTAGTTTAAGAGATCCTTTATTGGTCCCACAGTGGCTTTTTATTTTTATTTTTTTGCATCACAAGTTACAGAAAAGTAGGAATGAGGAGCACACAGCACAAGATAAATGAACAACAGCTCTATAATAACATAAGATAAAATATAGCATAATTAGGGGCAAATAGAAAATCTCAAACTATAGCATAATGAAGAAGCAAGAATTAAGTACGACATATCTGACTTTGGCTTAATAACAAAGTAAGTAAGTGTAAAATCTCTAACTTTGGCATAACCGTTTGCTTCTGTATCTGAACATGGGCCCTCTGCAGGTCGGTCGGTGGTCTCATTTCTGCACTCTCCCCCTCTGAGCATCTCCTCGTCATGTAATTATTCTTGCAAATAGATTTTTGGCCCTCGGCGGGTGCGAGGAGCAGCCAGTGTGAGAAAGCGAGCAGTCCACGTTTGATGTCTCTAAATGAATGTATTTCTGCTCATTTGCCTTATCTCTCAAACCAAACTGGATTTACACCATACAGGCTTCTCACACGTTTATCGTCTCAATGCATATTTATCTCGTGTCACCCACTTTATGGCTCATTTTGTACTTGGCGTGCATAGCTTTGATTGTTCTGTATATGCTAGGCGGCTTTTATAAAACCTCACAACTTCTGCCTTTAAACAATCCACACTTCTTGTACAACCATTTGAGAAGACTTGGTTGATAATCTTGACATTCCTTCATACAAAACTAAAAAATACACAAAAAGTAATCCTAAAGATGACATCACAACACTTTACTTTGGTCAAACACGGTCAGAAAGAGTCGATAATAAGTATAAATACAATGTGACGCCCTTTGTTGCAATTGTATATCTTTGAGAACTGAGAGGATGAGAAGGACCCAGAAGCCTAATTTTGTTTTTACACTATGACTATTAAACATCTGCCGGAGGGTACATAATAATTTCACAACATACCTTATAATGTGTCCATGACCATAATAAACTTGAACTTGAAAGTACTGTACATTTTTTGTGACCCCCCACCCTGATACAGATTGTGGAATAATGCTTAAATCTTACTGTTATGAGATAAAAAGGCCACAAAATTATAAAAAGTAGAGAAAGTGCAGTTTTCACATTTTTTACCAAATTTTGACGCTTCTTAAGTTGTTCGATATCACACAACACATATAAATACACAAAAAAACATATCATAAAACTAAACGCAATTACAATGTCTATCAGAAATAGCTTTTGGATATTTTTCCAACATCGTGCGGCCCTGATCAAAGCACATCTCTTGGTTTATTAAAAATCCCAAATCGGTGCGGTTTTACAGTTGCGTTTTACACTCATCAGTCCCTGTGACAATAGCTGGCTGACTCACCAAAGGGGAAAAGGTGACGCAGGGTTTAGTGCTCCACTGGACTTGTTTGGAGGCTGCGGAGTGGAAAACCAGAGCGTGTCAGGAGGAAACGGACAAATCTGCACAATACAACAAAGGACTGAAAACCGTTTGGGGTTTGGATTCTTAGGCTGAAGTAACGAGGGGTGGGAAGGTGATTGAAAATAAAATATTGTTGTTTTTAAAGATATTGCACACTTTGAACGGTGGAAAAAAGCAGAACAA